AGAGCGTGCGGAGAATAAAATTTATGTCGTTATATATAGATTGTGCGGTTCGCCACGACATACGTTCATGATTATGGAACAGCTGTCATGTTATTGTGGTTTTCAAAAATTTCAAAGAAAACTGTTTTCTTTGTTTGGTTATAAAAGTATGGTAATCATTTCTGTGTTCAAGAAATATTTTAATTTATACGTGAATATTAATAAAGCTAAATATATTTAAAAAGGAAAATATCTGGGTTATGACTAACGTTATGACTAAAGGAAAATATCTAGTTTGACCAACTTTATTTGCAATATCTTAAGTGCTTTTTCCGTTTGTTGCAAAAGTGACGCCCAAGTATTTAAACAGACATTTTTAATTGTGCAGATTCCTACATCCAACTCATCACGTTCGTCATCACCCACTACCATGTACTCCGTCTTCTTTGTGTTTATTGTTAGGTCCCATTTCAAATATTCCTCATGCAGTTTTCTAAACATATAACTGGAGTCGTCTCTGTCTCCCGCTATTAAGACATGGTCGTTGGCAAAGAGTAAGGTATATTTAGTGTCTTTTCCTACTGAGATTCCCATTCTACGGCATTTTATCTTCCCCAGCCCTTTAATTCTTCCTCCAAATATACTTTGAATAAAGTTGGTGCTAATGAACGCCCTTAAGCCCTTATTCATAAGAAATTCTTGGGAAATCTTGTTTCCAAGTTTAACTGTGCTACTGCAACCTTCGTATAACTTTCTTGTTGCTTGGACATAGCAACTACTGATACCAAAATTTTGCATTGACACCTACAACTTAGTGGGATTGTATCGTATGCCTTCTGTAGATCAATAAATGTCAAGTGGACCGTCCTTCCCCTTTCTAGCCTTTTTTCGATTAGATGCGAGTGAAAATATCATCAGTACATGCAAAGTTAGTTGTTGAACATTTACTAGAATAATGATAGCAAATCTCTGAATGTAGGTTTTTACTAGTTATTGTTAACACTCACTGAATTTTAGCTTCTCCTGTAACCTATACAAGTTTCATATTAAAGAGACCCGTTTTTAGTGGTTACACCACTGCGTTCCCCGGCACCCTTTAGGTGCGCCTCTGCTTCGCCGGGGTACCTCGGCTATATTTTACGCCCACGACGCGACCGTACTGTCGGACACGGGACACGATAACGTTCGCACGATACGCTCTAAGCCCCCTTCGCGGCTAGCGCGGACGCGCGCTTTTGATTAAACGCGGTGTCATTTGTGGAATAAGGGCCATATGTCCGACGAGGCGAGATAGCCGGCGCGGATTGATACGGAAAGAGAAAGAAATGGATAAAAATGCTTGCCTGCTGATAAATTGTTGGGGAGGTGAGTTGACAGGTCGATGGGGCACGCGCCATTTTGTTTTTTTTTTCTTACATCCTGTCATGCATTTCTAACGCTTTTAATAATGCCGCCTCTAATAGAACATAACATCCACAAATAAATCCAACAAAGACATTGTTCCATTATTGACTTTTCAAAATTTTTTTACCGATCTAACCATTATTGCAAATAGACCAGATATTGTATCTCACAGCAAGAGAAGTAAGATCTTCCTCTTAATTGATATGTTCTTTCCGGCAGATCACAACATGCTAAAGAAAGAAAACGAAAAATTATCCAAGTACACCGACCTAAGCATTGACATTAGCAGATCGCTGAAAGAAAAAAAGCAAAACTATGCCAGTGCCAAATTGGTGTTCTAAGTAACATCAGTAAAGGGTTAAGTAAATATCCAGAACAAAGCCCCAATGTGTGAATCACTCGATATGAAAGTCAGAACATCAATGACTAGGCACCGAATGCAGCACCCCATGATTCTCATCGCTATGCATGAAAAGCACATCAGAAGTCTTCAGGATTTCTTTGACCATTTAAATGACACTCTCCTTTCAGCTATTAAGACCGCCCAAGGAATTTCACACCTTTAAAGTTAGCGGGTCAAAGATTACCTGCAGGTACTAAGGGTGTTGTGGAACTAACCGAAGTGTAGAAAGGTAAAGCCTTGCACAGAAGATATCCATCCAACTTATATAACCCCGACGTTGACCGAAATCTGTTATTACGTTTTCTCAAAGATGGAGAGCTCAGAGCTGAGACCGAAAGATTTATTATAGCCATTTCTCTCAACCGTATCCATCTTCTTCGCCAATCACTCCTGCTTCTGTAGTAGGAGTGATATATCAAGTCGCAGGTAGACCAATAATTAAATTTTAATCAATATCAACCAACAAGCGTATAGAAATTCTGTCCACCTCTTTCAACGTTCAGTTTGGTTCAGCAATTTAATCGCAAAATACGTCATTCAATTTCGTTGAATCAACCAAAATGTTGAACCAAATTGAACCGTGAAATTCCACCTTAAAGCCAAAAAATATATATGTTTTAACATTTTTCATTTCCGTCCGTGCAAGGAGAATATTCTTGACGGTGACAGCCGCCGTCAGCCATCTTAATTCAAAGATATATTATATTTTCTGTAATTTTTTGAATGTCGAGACAGAAATTTAGACAAATCGTGTCGTTGGATAAACTATACTCATATTTAATATGTATAGTGCAACGATCCAGCTACGTCGAAACACCGGTTCTCTATAGATCACTGGAGTCAAGCGACGTTAGACGATGCGGGTGGATGGACGGGTGACCGTCTGAAAACTATGTCGTGCTGTTGTTCCATGGCAAGAGTGACCGTAACCTAACACACACTGCTCATTCAAGCCGCGCTGATTCAAGGTCGAATATATCATGAGTAATATTAGACACTCACCAAGTCAACAAAAGGGGACATTAACTCAACATTTACTTATAGTAAAATGTTAGTTAAAGGGCAAATCTGCCTTTCTCCGTTGTAGTTCATTAAATGTAAGGTGTGCAGTTTGTGTGAGTATGTGTGATCATATAGTGATCTATAGTTCATATCAAATAAACTTTTAATCACATGATTAAACTTGACCGGTACAACATTGCCTATTTTTATATATTTTCTTTTAATCAAAAATAAATTAATTATAAATATTTAAAAGTTATTATTTACATCGACAAAACTCACCTTCTTAACAGCACTTAAGGGGCATAAAGGGCCATCACTACCGCTTTAGTTTTACTACCGCTACACCAAGTGACCATCAAAATTGGAGCAGTTACAGTTGTTAATATCTATAAACCCCCTGCTACTGGTTGGACTCCTGAGGTGATAAAAACGCACCCACACCCAAGCGTATACATTGGCGATTTTAACAGTCACCACGAAATGTGGAAATATAGTATTAATGACAACAACGGAAAAGCCTTGGCGAGGTGGGCTGAGGAACAGAACACATACCTCATTTTTGACGCCAAGGATCGGGATACATTCGTATCAGCCGCTTGGAGACGGGAGTATAACCCGGATCTGTGCTTGATCGCGGGATGAGAATAGGCTCTATATATATAGAGCTTATACTTATATAGGCCAGTCGCAACCTCTAGGAGTGTTCTCTCAGACCTTCCACACAGCCAGCATCGCCCAGTGCTCATTACTATAGGACTATCCCTACCGATAATCAGGTTACACCCACGACCGAGATGGAACCTTGGAAAGGCCAACTGGGAAAAGTTTTCTGAACAACTGGACTATACCCTACATTGGATTCCTCCAGTTAGCAAAAACTACGAACGGTTTGTGGGAGCGGTTATCAGCTCATCAAAGGTGGCCAATCTAGGAGATATCGTATTATATATATGATTTGTACGCATAATTTCTTGAAAGCGGAGATCGCGAAATAGCTGACGATCTATTACACAACATCAATATATATATATATATATATATATATATATATATATATATATATATATATATATATATATATATATATATATATATAGACGCCAGAGATGGACAGAAGCTGTTGAAAATCTTGACTTCAAAAAATCAAGTCGACAGGCATGGTCTCTGCTGCGTAAGCTCGGAGGCGCTAAGCCTTTTGAACGCGGAGATGATAGAGTATCACCGTTACGTCCAGAGCCCCTCGAGATCGAACACATACAACTAAAGTTAAAAGAGAACTCAGGGCCCTGAGGGACGCCTGCGCTGCAGACTCCGAATATTCGAGAGGTATTAAAATTGGCGAAATCACAACGGCTCTAATAGAAATTAGATTGGGAAAAGCACCAGAATTTGATGGCATCCACCCAGAGTTCCTCCAACACTGTGGACCCTATACGAAGCAATGGCTAGCAAAATTTTTCACGTTCATCATCTTTCGCACAGGACATATCTCACTCACTTAACCCTACATCCTCATAATCCTCACTCACTTAACCGTACAAAAATCATTGCAATACTAAAACCAGGAAAAACAAGTGATGGGCCAGAGAACTACCGTCCCATCGCCCTGCTAAGTATGGTTTATAAACTGCTTGAGAGAGTGCTACTCAACAGAATCAGTCAAAGAATTTTAGACAGCATTCCCATTGAACATACAGGCTTTCGGCCGCATAGTAGCTGCACAGATCAAGTCTTATCACTGACAACATTTATAGAGGCCGGATTTCAAAAGAAACATGTAGTCGATGCCGCATTTATAGACCTGACAGCAGCATATGACACCGTCTGGAGACAGGGCCTAATATATAAACTGACTCGCGTCATTCCTTGTGTAAGAATATCCAACCGCATTAACAATATGCTGTCAAATAGAACATTCCAGGTTATAATGGGGAATAACAAGAGCAAAACTATGAAACTGAATGACGGTCTTCCTCAGGGGTCGGTTCTTGTCCCCATACTCTGTTTATACATCTCGGACATGCCTGCAACTGAATGACGAAAATTTGATTATACAGACGACTGGACATTGGCAACGGTGCACAGGAGGGTGGAGAATGCTGAAGACCAAACCAAACCAAACCCAACCATTAGCGAGTATTTTAAATAATGGAGACTCCAACCAAGTATCGTAAAAACTAAAGTATCTGCCTTTCATCTTAATAATAAGATGGCAAAGAGAGAATTGCGAGTGTACATGGACAACAAACTACTCACTCACAATAAGCATCCAAAATATCTCGGAGTTACTCTGGACAAGACGCTTACATTTAAAGAACACTTGACAAGAATGATGGCAAAGTTGAGAACACGTAACAACATACTTCAAAAATTATGTGGCACAACTTGGGGCTCATCAGCATCCACCCTGAGATCCTCTGCGCTGGGTTTGGTGTATCCTGTAGCAGAATACTGTGCTCCAGTGTGGCTTAATAGCAAACACACCCGTATGGTCGATACTCAATTAAACCAAACTATGCGCATTATATCAGGGACAATTCGACCAACACCTACAATATGGCTGCCCACACTTAGCAACATAGCTCCTTCCAATTTGCGCCGAGCACATGCCTTGGTCAGAGAGTTTAATAAAATAATGAATAACCCTCAGCTGCAGGTCCATGATGACGTTCCACACATCCAGGGAAATCGACTACGATCAAGACACCCCCCATTGAAGACTGCATATGAGCTGCACCAAAATGATTTTGATATAAATGAGCGATGGAGAGAGAAATGGGAAAATGAGGCAGCTCCAATGTACCATGGTCTACCGTACGTTATTAATGAACCTGCAGGATTCGACCTTCCCAGTGGAACATGGACAACTCTTAACCGCACCAGACTGTGGAGCTGACAGGCAGACTGTCAAACATATAGTACAAGACTGCCCAATAAGAGCATATATGGGCAACTCAAAGAATTTCCTTATGGCTACTCAGGAGGCAATTGATTATATACAACGACTGGATATCTGCTTATGAGACGAATTAGCCTATTTTTTTTTGTGTATGTTTTTTTTTCTTTGTTTATGCAGTTTTTTTATATACATATTTTTTTTTTGTTGTTTATGCAGTTTTCTTATATACATTTTTTTTGTTGTTTATAACATTCTGTGTCCTATAACTTAAGATACTGTGATGTAAGCCATACGCTAAATAAAAAAAAATTAAATAAATAACTACCGCTTTCCCGTTCAAAATATTCTAATAAAGTTGCGATGTTTTTTTTTACGGCTATTACGCTATCTTCATTAAGTATAGTCGATGTTGCTAGAGAAAGTTGATCAAAGTACTGCCTCTATTGTTTCTGACCCCCATTCCAAATGGACCCATCACTTCCTCAGCTTCATCCATTCGTTTCGAAACCTTGGCATTAAAATCTCCTATAAGAAAGGATGAATACATCCAGGAACTGTAATTGCCCTATCGATGTCCTCGTAAAATTGGTCTATTTCGTCTTCTTCGGCTGTACATGTTGGTGCATAGGCTTGGATAATTTTCATTTTAAGTCTACTGTTTAGGCGGAATATTACGTATGCTACGCGCTTGGAAACACTTGCGATGCTTAAAATATCTGAAGCATGCTTTTTATTTATCAAGAAGCCTACACCACCTATTGAGTTGTCCGTTTCGTCTATATGGTAGAGAATGTGTCCTGACTTGAGTGTAGTCCATGCTTCGCCTTGTCTTCTAATTTCGCTCATTCCAATAAAGTCCCAATTAACTTTATCTAATACTTCTTGAAGTTCCAATAGTTTCTCCTCCGTTGATAAGCTTCTAACGTTGTATGTGGCGATTTTGAAAACTCGAGAGCATTTTCGCTTCCGTGTTGTTTTGGATGTCACGAGCTTGTCTCCCCCAGAATCCATGAGACAGACTGATATGTTATCAGTGTGAGATTTTGGACGTATAATAATATAAATAAAATAAAATGTTATAAAAATAAAATAATTAATATATAATGGAAAGAAAGAGATAATTAAACTAAAAGACAACCAAGGGGTCCTAACAACAAATAGAGAAAGGCTGTTGAAAATAACAGAAAACTTTTACACTGAACTATACACAAGTAATCACCAACAAACATACAACAGTCAACAACGTCTGTGCAAAAAGATAGTTAACCAGGAATCAGAGGATATACCGAAAATAACTACAGAAGAAATCAGAAACTCCTTAAAAGAAATGAAAAATAACAAAGCCCCGGGCGAGGACGGCATAGTGATTGAGGCTGTAAAACTCGGAGGAGGAACACTATTAAAATGGATTAAAGACTTATTTAATCTATGCCTTGAAAAAGGAATAATCCCGTCTCAATGGAACAACGCCATAACGATAGTTCTCCATAAAAAAGGGCGATATCACCGAGCTTCAAAATTATAGACCGATAAGCCTTCTTTGTCACTTGTATAAGCTGTTTACCAAAATCATTGCCAAACGTCTCGAACGTAAACTAGATTTCTGTCAACCAAGAGAACAGGCAGGCTTTAGGAAAGGTTATGGAACAAGGGCCTTGTTCGAACAACAATTAGGGCATTTTGTTTTTTCCCATTTAGCATATTCTTCAATTATTTTCCGCACCATATATTCCATGTCATCTTTGTCGTTTGCAATTATGGCCTGGTCGTCTGCAAATTGCAAGGTGTCTAGGCATATGTCATTTAGTTCTATACCCATTCCGTTACATTTTCTTTTCCATAGATGTAAGGCCTTGGCAATTTCCCCAAGTAATTAAAGTCCTGATAGAAAAATCTGTGGAATACAACAGGCCCCTAGCATTGGTGTTCGTTGATTTCCAGAAAGCATTTGACACAGTAGAATTAACATCAATAATAGCAGCATTGGAGCAGGGAAGAGTAGATTATAGATATACAAGGCTTATAGAATACATATATAGTAATGCCACCACAACTGTAAAACTTCACGAAACAACAGTTAAAATTGAGGTAGGCAGAGGAGTTCGATAAGGGGATACTATTTTGCCTAAACTTTTTACAGCTGTCCTTGAATACACAATGAAATCACTCTCTTGGGAGAATAGGGGCATAAATATCGATGGTGAAAGGTTGACACATCTCAGATTCGCAGATGACATCGTCCTTGTCTCAGATAACATCGGAGATTCAAAGCAGATGCTCGAAGAATTAGTGCAGGCCTCATTAAAAGTCGGTCTCCGGATAAATACGAGAGTAAAACGCAAATAATGACAAACTTAGTGCTGACACAGAACATCAGAATAGGTGACGCCGACATAAAAGAAACACATATATACAATATCTCGGGCACGAAATACAAATCGGAAAGAACAACCAAACACACGAGATACAGCGCAGAATAGGTTTGGGTTGGGCTGCTTTTGGCAAACTGCGGGAGACCTTTAAAAGTAATATACCCATATGCTTGAAGAGGAAAGTTTATGAACAATGCGTCTTGCCGGTAATTACATATGGAGCGGAAACTCCAACATTAACGAAAAAGTCAGCAGAAAATTTAAGAGTAGCCCAGAGAGCCATGGAGAGAGCCATGCTTGGAATAACTAAAAGAGACAAAATTCCTAATAACAATATCAGACAAAAAAACAAAATTAAAGACATAGTGGAACACGTAACTCGCATGAAATGGAGATGGGCAGGTCATGTGGCGAGAACATCTAAAGACAGGTGGACTAGAAGATTGTTAGAATGACGACCTCGAGCAGATAAACGCAGCAGAGGCAGACCACCGACACGCTGGACCAATGATGTAAAGAGGATTGCTGGAAATTGGATGATGACGGCCCAAAGTCGAGATACATGGAGAAATATGGAGGAGGCCTATGTTCAGCAGTGGACAACTATGGCTACATGATGATGATGATGATGACGCTATCTTGTACCGCTTCGCACGAAAAGAGGTTCTAAAAAGAACAATGTTCGACTGCAAGGTCTGTTAGTAAACAATTTTAAGCTTAAAGTATCACAATACTATTTATTTAAACCAAAAACTCGAATACAAAATTAAAGTGTCAAAACGAATGACAGTCTCAGGAAATAAATAAATAAATGTGGCAACTTGACATTTTTCACAGCAGAACTACCACCTGAATCCCTAGCTGGGAATTTAAATTCCAGTTGGTCAGCTCGGCGCTGAATATGTTTTATTATATACAATATGTTTAAAAAACGCGCCCTTGATTACGTAACTAAAAGTTACGTATTAAGTAATTGACATTAAAAAAGTTACTGTTTATCCAGACGAAATAATATCTCCATATCAAAGCTCTATATAGTTTCCGGAATTAAAAACAGATCATGATTACAAAATAAATTGTTAAAACAGATAACCTGTCCAGTTGCGTTCGCCGATGATCATGACCAGTTCGAACGATTCGCGATCGATCGTTCGATTCGGATCGATAAATCTTGATTTTTATCGATGCAATCGGAACGAGATCGACACGACCGGTGGATCGATATTAAATGTCAAAGGCAATTAGGCCCCTTCGGTCTATATTGTTTAATGGCCGACTGGCCGACAACTGCCTGTTTAGCCCGTGTATGATTAACTACGAAAACGTGCAAGGTCGATAAGGTATGATACAGGATGAAGCAAAATTGATGCTGGGCTTTCCAATTATACCGGGTGGACTGTAAACTCTATTACAATATAATGTTTATTAAAAAATGTTTACAACATATGTAGCGGATTCATCTCTCCAAAAAAATCCTATATGGGTATTTTGCCACTGCAAAAAAATCTACAAAATAAAATAGTAAATACTGCTGCGTGAATCCAACGGAGACTATTTGTCAGCAGTTAGGTTTACTGATAACCAAATTTGCCTAACGAACACAAAAAAATGCTTAACGTTTCGGAAAGTTATTCTCTTTCAGTCGTTGGAAGCAAAAAAATACAAAGAATAAAGAAAAAAAAATGCATTTATTCGAGAACACTTTAGTTTTTTTTAAACAAATACGTCTAGAAATATGTTTTTTATTGATCGCATGCCATTTTCTATCAACCGACATTATCTCAGATTTCACAGTTATCTTCCTATTACAGCGAAACAAGACAAAAAGACAAAAAACTCGACGAGATACTACGATATTACAACGCCGTACTTGTTCAAATTACAAATATAACATCGTGGTTGGGACGAGAACGATGACCAATGACGGGGCGGGACCCCGCAGTCACTTTTCTTGATTATATTTTACCGATATGGCGGCTTAAATACACACCTTCACGCCCAACTACAATATTTCAATTTGCCTCGGTCTATCTAGATTCAATTGTGCGAACCTCATCCATTTCAAAACGATTTCTTCTTTTCCTTTTCGAAAATAAATTGTTTCCGAGCAGACACAACCCCCTTCTTCTCATTATTTTGTTACAAAAATACGTATTTTTTTAGAAATAAATTAAATGAAATTAATTTATTTCGTTAATTTTGTTATTACTTTTTCGAATTATTTAGTAACTTTTATTATGTTATTCTACATACTTTTTTATAAAATTTTAAAATTAATGAGATAGTAAGTTTTAATTTTTTCTTATCTTAGACAGGAACTATCGAAAACAGGAAATAGCCATTCTATCCGATAGTCAAGCAGCACTAAAAGCGTTCAACTCAGTAACCATCAATTCGAAGTTGGTCAAAGAATACCTAAAGAAGCTGAACAAATTAGGCAAAGAAAATAAAGTCCTCCTACTTTGGGTGCCCGCCCACCAAGGGATAGAAGGCAATGAAAAAGCAAATGATCCAGCTAGAAAAGGAGCGAACACTCTACTAACAATACTAACTGAACCAGAACCGTTCTGCTTTACAAGCGGAAACCAACTTAAAGCGGAACTGAAGAACCTGGAAGACTCCATCCGTAACCTGGAATGGGAATTCTCCAACGGTCTAAGACGCTTGAAAAAGTTCCTACGAATTAGGTGTGGCGTTTTTTACAAAACATGCGAACGACAGCTTGCCACTGCGAACAGCAGAACTGTGAACTGCGAACAGCAGCGAAACAACTGCGAACAGCAGAACTTGCCACTGCGAACGGCAAACACTGCGAACGGCAGCTTTTCGTTGGTAGAGCAGTCGTGGATAAGGTATTTCACTGGAAAGAAACTAACTAACAATAATAAATCGAAAATACAAATATTGGGCGCCAGGCATGAACAGAGAAAGAAAACACAGTTGTTTATTACTTAAAACTAGTGACTATATTCATTCTTAATGTATCCTGATGGTAAATAGCATTGTACAATTTTAATAATTATTAGGTGTAGCGAATAATCGATAATTATAGTGGTTATTCATTAAGCCATGAGCCTTTTAGGCTTTTAGAGCTATTTTATATATATATAGTGGTTATATGTCGAGTAAAGCTATGTATGTAAATAATATTAAATATGTTCTATGAAAAGACTATAGAAAAATACAATGCGTGTAAAGTTATAGAAGATATATGAAAGGTAGCATTACTTTATTTAAATTGTTCAATTTTATGCGGTGTTAAATCTGATATGTTGCAACCCGTAGATTCTAGAATCTACGTCTGGTTATTCATCTGTGAACACAGCGCAATAATATCTATAGAAAGTAATACTATTACAAGACGTAATGTAATGAAACCTAAGATCTAAATCATATTGTATCTACTAAATCGACTTAAATGTTCTTAATAATCTAACCACTAAACATAGTCTGTACGATATTATTTAAAATGTACGTTATTATGTTAAGACTGCAAATCGACTGAAAACTAGAACTTAAATCTACACTTAGCTGTTCTTTATGCAATCATGCTTCAACCAGTAACAGCGTGAGGTGGGTTCGCATCTCTGTAGTGTCTCTCTGCTATTCTGTTGGCCAATACAACAAAAGAGACCAGAA